AAATAACATAACATGAAAACGTCTGTAATTTAATTTGAATTAGTTGAATTTTATGTATCTCTCACTAAAAAAAATAAGTTGTGTAGTCAAAAAGATTTTCAGAACCCGGAGCGTAACTTCAGTGAAACCGATTATATGGAAAAGCGGCCTGCCATACAGGTGAGCTTCCTCATGTTGCTGGAGTGACCTGTTGCAGAGCAGAACCCGACTGCAAGATGGACTTTACTACTGAGACTTAAGAACAAGCAACAAGAAACCATCCACATATAATTTACACAGTTAACAGAAAAAAGTTTTTCTGACTCTGGTTTGAAAAAAAGCAAAACAAACAAAAAAACACGGTTGATTCACTGCGCGTCAGTGCGTGTGCACGCATGTTTTTGTATCATGGAGGGGACAACTGAAAGATCTAAGTCCCCATGAGGATAGAAGAACAAGCATATGTGTGTGTGGGTGTAGAGCGGAGCGCTGTGTTCATACTGCGAGTGTCCCTCTCTGCAGAGTGTCCCTCTCTGCAGAGTGTCCCTCTCTGCAGAGTGTCCCTCTCTGCAGAGAGTGTCCCTCTCTTCAGTTTGTCCCTCTCTGCAGAGTGTCCCTCTCTGCACAGAGTGTCCCTCTCTTCAGTTTGTCCCTCTCTGCAGAGTGTCCCTCTCTTCAGTTTGTCCCTCTCTTCAGTTTGTCCCTCTCTGCAGAGTGTCCCTCTCTTCACAGAGTGTCCCTCTCTTCAGTTTGTCCCTCTCTGCAGAGTGTCCCTCTCTGCAGAGTGTCCCTCTCTGCAGAGTGTCCCTCTCTTCACAGAGTGTCCCTCTCATCAGTTTGTCCCTCTCTTCAGTTTGTCCCTCTCTTCACAGAGTGTCCCTCTCTTCATGCTTCTGTTGTCACTGTGTCTCCTCAGAGATGGTCACATGCTTGCGAGGACACACGGGGCTGGTCAAAGGCCTGACGTGGGACCCAGTAGGGAAATACATCGCCTCCCAGGCTGACGACCACAGTCTGAAGGTGTGGAGGACCGTGGACTGGCAGATGGAGGCTAACATCACCAAACCATTCACAGAGGTACAGATGCTGCCATCAGAGATGTCTGTTGTGTCATTCCTGTTTTTTAACCCTTTAACTGACGTAATGTGGGTTTAAATGCTTTTTCCCCTCAGTGTGGCGGGACGACCCATGTCCTGCGTCTGTCCTGGTCTCCGGACGGTCAGTATCTGGTGTCGGCTCACGCCATGAACAACTCGGGCCCCACCGCTCAGATCGTGGAGAGGGACGGCTGGAAGACAAATATGGACTTTGTGGGCCACCGTAAAGCCGTCACAGTGGTGGTGAGCAGGCCCAGTCCAGACTTTCAGTCTTTCACCATCGGCAGCAACGTATCGACTGATCCGGTTTCTGTGTTCGCAGAAATTCAACCCAAAGATCTTTAAGAAGAAGCAGAAGAACGGCAGCTCTCCGAAGCCCGGCTGTCCGTACTGCTGCTGCGCTGTGGGCAGCAAGGACCGCTCACTCTCAGTCTGGGTCAGTCCACGGCCAACTTTGTTTCCAGCTCTGCTTTAATAAAATCTGGTGAACTAAACATTGTAGTTAAAGAGGACATGTCCTGCAGAATCCACTTTTTTAGCTGTTAAAGTTGAACTTAGTCTGTCCAGGTGCTACAAAGATACCTTTATTCTGTTTAGGTCAAATATTTTAGGGATGCACAATAACTTCTTTTAAGAACCGATACCAATAACTGTTAACTATCTCCCTCTAACGGCCGATAACCAATAATAACCGATAACATAAGTCTAGTCAAAAATGGGTAGGATTATAACATAAACAAGACCAAAACCAAATGACTCTGTAAATTATGCTATTTGAAATAAACTCTTAGCAAACATTTCTTAAAATATATCAAACAAAACAATTTCTTCAATGAACATCTATTTAAATAAGGCACATAATTATAAAAAAGACCTCTAAAACTTATTTCAGATTTAAAACAAATACGTGCAAAAAAGTACATAAAAAGTCATTCTACAAGTTCAAAACAGATAATTCACTAACACAAGTTAGATTCAAAAGTACATTTGTTTTTATTTTTAACAATATATAATTTAAAATATTTTTCTACCTAAAACAGTGCTTCTGGGATAATAGTGCACAAATGATGACCTGTTGATCAAAGTGTGAATGCATAACGACCGCATCATACTTACAGGAAGACACACAGAGAGGTAGCAGCAGCTCGCCATGATAAACCTTGGCTAACAATGGTAAATCGTGGCTAACGATGGTAAATCGTGGCTAACGATGGTAAATCGTGGCTAACGATGGTAAATCGTGGCTAACGATGGTAAATCGTGGCTAACGATGGTAAACCGCGGCTAACGGTGGTAAACCGTGGCTAATTTAGATCTGCGTCCTCTCTGGCAATTTTATTGGATTTGTCAAAAGCCTCAGCAATGATTTAAGTCCTGATGAGTTCTTGAACACTAGCTTGTTGTTGTTAGCATTTTTAGCAGCACAGACTTTGTGCTGCGTTCAGGAGGTAACGGACATTACATGTTCTCAAATTGAGAGTAGTTGTTCCGATCTTTCTCTGTTTATAGAGTTTGTGTGTAAAATACATGGTTAATTGGTAAAATATTATTATTAAAATGACTGGTTGTTTTTGAGTATTCTAATTATTTTTCCATTGAGAAAGTTGTTTTTTCCTACGCCACTTGAACACGTCTCGGGCAGGACGGGGAGCGGCGTGACCAAAACGGATAAAAATAAATCAGCACACTCACCTCCATTTTCTGAACTACTGTATTTAAATAAGGTCTGAACTTCATTCTCCTCTGGTTCTGGGTCAGACTCTGGTTCTGGGTCAGACTCTGGTTCTGGGTCAGACTCAGTCTATCGGTCTGGTAGCTGGAGGGGGGCAAGGTGTGCAGCGCCTTGTATGGGTTTAAAGAGACAGCCTCAAAACGAGACATAACTCAGAAAGGAGGCAGTGCTTGTGGAGCTGCAATAAGGAGAAATTCAGTTCCACTTTTTATCAACCTCAACTGGGTGATTTAAATATGAAAAAGCAGTATTTAGAAGCAGGGCATGTCTTTGTTTTTAATATTGAACATTTTACACTTCATTATTCTGCTTCTCTAATGATCTCACTGCTTTTATCAGCTGCTCGTTGTTAGCAAACGTTTGACGTCTCATTTCTGTCCTCAGCTGACCTCATTGAAGCGTCCTCTGGTGGTCATCCATGACCTTTTTGACAAATCAATTATGGACATTTCCTGGTGAGGTTACAATCTTTATCTGGCCATGAAACTGTTTGTTTTTGTTTTTATAATTACTGAACTGATGTCTCTTTAATGATCACAGTGACTGTAAAATAACCTTCTGTAAATGTATAAAACATTCTGACATTAGTTACTCTAGCACACTGTTATGAATAACTAACAATAATAAGTGTGTGTGTGTGTGTGTGTGTGTGTGTGTGTGTGTGTGT